AGCACAAATTATCATTTGGCTGATACTGAGACAAAATAAATTTGCTAACCCTGGTCTAGAACCTAGGTCAACTGCTTACTACTTTAGTTTTTTGTTCTTCCACTATACTGTACTACCACTCATTTTGCATGCCTTAAAAAAAAAATCTAAAGATAAATGGTCAGATATCCAATATTAAATCCAGTCACACATGCTTCAATTCCTCAATAAGAAATTGGCTTTGACCAAGAATCCCTAGAGAAGAAAACCCCTGGAAACAAGGAACACTTATCAAATGTCTACAGGGAGAGACCCACAGGAGGAAAAACAAAAAACACAACAATGATTACTGCTTTGAAGCAAGGGATGAACTTCTACAATTGCCTACTGGAGGTTTACCAAACTAACTGGGACATGAAAATGTGATACTGCCATTTCCTCCCTGTTATAAACAATGCACCTACTCCACGGTCCACAGCACCCGTGACATATTTTTGTTTCAGTCTTTCTCTCTACACCTTAGCCTGTGAATTCTTTGAGGGCAATTATCAGACCTTAATACCCTAGCATTTTAGGTAAAGAACGGGTGTGCCTGTCATACAGAAAGTGCTTCAGAAAAGTTTAATGAATTAGTTGGTAAATGAACAAAGAAAACCACAATATGTAGGGAACGAAGATTATCAGTCGTGTATAGCCTTAGAAGGTGAGTGCACTTTGTGCTAGAACCTTAAAGGACAGGTGGGATTTGCAAAGGCACAAAGGGAATGGAAAGTTACTATAGGCAAACAATACAGCTCCAACAAAAATATGGCAGCCATCAGAAATATAGTACTTAGTATGTTAAAGCCAAATAGCTTTAGACATGATTTAATCCGACGGTTCTATTCTTATCATAGCGATTTTATAAACATTCTGCAGAAAAGCAGAGGTTTTGGCAAATCACAAAATTCACTAAAAAGTAGCTATTATTACTACTGCTCAAAAATACTTATTAGCAAACACTTATTAGATAGATGCGTACTGTATGCCAACGACCATGCTGAGTGAAGGGTCTACAACAATGAGGAAAACAGGCTTGACCTCTGCTTTCTCAGGTACCTTGCAGCCTATTGAGGAAGATAAAACAATGCTTAGGGCAGGGGAAGTACAGGGAGGTCAAAGAAACAAAGTAGGGTCACCCTATCAAAGGCCAGTAAGAAAAGCTCCTTGATTTTCAAAGTATGGCTTGAGACACCCACGGGTTCCGCTGAGTTCCTTAAAGGATCACAAGCCTTCAGAATAAGATTTTGTTTGAATAGCTTCATAACTAAACAAAGATTTAAAAACCACCAATCTAGTTCAATCTCCTTTTTTAACAAGCATAAAACAGGACCCAGAATAGGTAAATTTTTTTTTTAACTATGGCTTGAGCTGGAAAGTACTCATTTTGTAGAAGATAAACAAGCAAGGGGAAGAAGATACATCCGGAAATTACAGGCACTGCCTGGGCAGACTGGCTGACCAGGATTGTATGCTTAAGTGCCTTTCTACCAAGCCAGCTTTTTTTTTTTTTTAAGATTTATTTATTTATGCATATAGAACTGGGGTACAGGCAGAGATGCAGGGGCGGTGAGAGGATTCACCAAAGACAGAGTGTGGAGCAGAAATGGCCAACTAAAAGAAGTCCACTGCCAGGGGAACAGCGGGTGGGTCAGGAGAGGTCTGCCTCGCCATATGGGTCACCTCTGGAGCTGGGAATTAAACTCACACTGAAGTGGCTTTAGCTCCATAGTGCTGTGCCTTAACCCACTGCACCACCAGGGAGGGCCCCAAGCCAGCTCTTTGTATCAAAAGGATTCCTCTAAATCCTCTCAGGATGGCCACTACCGCTTTGGAGAATTCACTGGCTCACAAGTAGCACTTGCTTCTGGGCCTCCTGGGTAGCTCATAACCAGGTTTTATCTACTAATACCCTCAAGCACACAGGCAAATTGACGAAACTGAGCTAGGTCCGTCATCGCGGACCATTTAATTCCAAATCTGAGCTGGCTAGACCCATCCTTCATTTCCCTACCACTCAGCTTATCCAGAAAGACCAGAGGTTCAACAAAACTAAATTACTGATAAATTAAAGGACCTGTGTGCCCGTCGGCATGTATTGCGCTAAACCCTAACTCCTTCAATTACAAATAGGAGATAAAACTAACTAGATGTTAATAAAACTAACTAACACGAGACTCGAAATGTTCTTCTCAATCACAGTAAGATCACAAGTACTGTATTAATTTTCAAATAAAATAATTAAGACAACACAGCTGTAAATTATCTGCCAGCAGAGTACAAATAATGGAGAGAGAAATGGAACCAAAGGAAGCTAGCTATACATAACATGGGCTAATATATAGCACAGGCAGACCTAGGTTGGAATCTGCACTTCCCCACTCACAAACTGCAAAATCCTAGGAAAGTTACTTAAGCACTCTTTAAACAAGGGCTAGTTTAAGGGAAGGGTTCAATAAACAGAAGCCTTTCGCTAATTTGTTCCCTAAGTTCCCTTTTCTACTCATCTCTCTAAAACAGAAGCAGCTAGCAAAGCCTAAATTAAAATTACTTTAACTACTCAGGAAAGTATAATGAAAAACACAAAAGGGGAGGAAAGGAACATTAATCAACTGGTGGCTGCTATCATATTAATGGCATCTGAGAATACAAAACAAAACCGTTAACAACATACCACAGCATGTGCAATCTTTCTAGAGAAGTGGAAATGTGCACCAGCTGCATCCTAGTATAATAATCAGAACTCTGTGATTGTCCATCAACCAAACAGAAAATGCTACAGGAGAGCAACTCTTATACTACATGCAAGTCATTGCTCTCTGTAACCCAACCTTTAACTTTACATTTCCTCTCTGGCAGACTTCACTGACTCCCCTTAGCAGGCTCAAGGTCTTGTCCCCTATACCCCACTGTGCTCATTACAACACATTGACATTACAGTTATCTGGAATTGTAATGGGCAATTTTTATTTCTCTTCAATAGAATATAGTTAGAAAAGTTCTACGCTTGCTCATTTTTGCATTCCCCGTTCATAACACACAGTAGTCCCCCATAATTACAAATGAGATTTTGCTCTTTCACTAGTTGAGGCTGATAAGTAACAGCTGGAGATGCATCAGTTGCTCTCCCACAGAAACTAAGGTCTGCCAGATCAGACCCCTATTTTTGAGGGTATGGTTGAGACTTGAAGAAATGTCTGACTCCCTGCTTCTCAGAGTCACCAATTTAAAGACAAAGGATACAACCAGCACATACAAACAGCAATTATATTTTCTCAGTAAATCTAACAAGTAACACAAGTTTTTAGGATGCAAATTAATGGTTACATACAAAATTGACCTCTAAACATGACGCTCTGGAAGTATGTTTTTAGAAGCTCTTAAGTTCTTAAAACAATAAAAGAAAAATGTTTTACATAAAAACTGTTTTACATCAAAACTTTAAATTTCTTTCTCCTCTGCCAAACCTGTCTTTATCTCAATGAACTCTGACATAGGCCACTGCAATCAAACCCCCTCAAAGGAGAGCCCACAAACTAACAAACAGTAACTCCAAAACAGTATTTACCTCTTTCAAGGTGTCTTCAAATATGGCTCATTGAACCAAAGCCAAAAGTAATAACAGAAACATAAAGCTGGAAGGGATCTTGGAGGTCATTTCCACAACTACCTTGCCAACTGAGTCTCTTACTAGGCAAGTAGGAAACTAAAATGCTTCTTTAACACCCCTTCACTTCCTCCCAACTATCACCTTAAAGTTTCTCAGTCTCCTCCTCCTCACCCCCACCTGTTTTAATTATTTCAATCAGGTAAATCAAATCCTCTAAGTCATTCCATTATCAAGCAACAGACTTTCTCAGGTTCACTTCTACTCCCTTTTTCCAAGCCACATCTCCAATCCTTCCCATCCACTACCAACACATAGCCAGGGTCTCTAAGACTTATTCCTGAGGTCACACCAGTTCCAACCCTCTTCCTCCTTTTCTCCCATGCTGTCCATACTCCAGCATGTGCAAGCCACAAGAGCATCTAGCTATGAATATGAACTTTTGGCCTCAGAAGAATCTTTTCCCTTTCTTTCCTCACCTCATCTCTCTGCTTCTCCACGCTCCCCTTTATTCCCTTCAAACTCAGGGTCTCCATCCTAGGTTTCCTTCAAGAAATCACTTACAACTGAATACACCAGTCGTTAAAAGCTATTAGAAAGGTAAAGGGGACATACACGTTCAAGGAGCTCGCTTTTTAAGGTTCACTCCTCTGGGAGCCTTCCCTAATTCAAATTGAAATGGTCTCCTCTCTTCAGAGTCGTTACAACCAGGTGTGGTGATTAGTTTGTTTCTCCCACCACTCGATGGTGGGCTCTTCAGGGAGAAGATCCCTCCGGATCCCTAACACTTAGCCCAGCACTGGGCACAAAAGTGATGCTTGATGTCTGTTAAATGAGTGAACATGGATGAACTGCGATATACATTCGCTTTTTCATTCGTTGACCAAAAGCGTATTATTATGTACCGAGTCCTAGAACGTATGAGTAAATAAATAACTCAAAGCTATAATACTAGTAGACCCCTTCCCCGATCCGAGTCGCCAAACCCCATTCTGAACCTGGACGGCGTCCTCTCCCACAGTGAAAGCCCAGCCTTCCCCGGCAGAAGTCAACGCCCCTCAACTGAAGCTGCCTCTCAGCCTCTGGTCCCACCTCAGAATTCCAAACTACTGGAATCTCAAAATCTATTCCCATACACACACCCCTCTGGTTTCCCTCCCAGTCCTTCATCTCCATCCTAAAGTTACTCCCCACGACTGCCTCAGCGTCCCCGAGTCCAGGGTCCCTGATTTCCCTCTCCGCGCACCCGCCCCCCAGTTGGCTCCTTCCCTTCAGGATTCCTTCGCTTTTAGGACCTACACTCCTGATACCTCCCGATACCTTCCTTCACTTTCAAGATAAGTCACTCCTGTCCTCGACTCTCAACTCTTCTTACCTCATCCAGCTCCCGTTCCCCGGCAGCACCCCCTCCAACCTGCACCTCCACCACTGCCGCCATCTTCACAGCTCTCCCCCTCCCCCCGCTACCCGCGCGAGCCAGCTGCTTCCGCCGCTTTAGGGGTCCTGGCCAATCCTGGCAAGGGATCCGGCAGAGCGGGGCGGGGCATTAAGACACGCGGAGACCTGACAAGCGCTAAGAGACCGTCCTCTTGCTACTCACTTAAAGGTCAAGGAGGGACGGTTACCAAGCATCTCCAAGCTTCGGCTGGGGAGAGTTCTTTGAAAATAAGGAATTGGACTTGTGTTATTGCCTCTGTAATTATTTCACCAATTCTCCCCTTTCGTTAGCCAAAAAGCAGTGTTCTTAAACCTTCAAATTTCACGACGCTCCCTTATTCTGGGTTCCCGGGAGGAAGGCGTGGAAGAGCTAAGGACTACACTTCCCAGAATGCAGTCCGTCTGACCCGGAAGTTTAACTTCCACTTTCGTGGCGAAAGATTTGTCGTAAGTAAAAATACATGTAAACACATGTGTATTTTTTACTGGCTACAGCACTTGACTCTTCCCTCGGTGAGAGTCGTTCTTCTGAAACAATGGCTTCTTGACTTCCCACAACTAATTCTCAGGCTTTGGGAGGCTGAAGAGTGGTGCTCGGGGTCAGAAGGCGGAGGTCAGAGGGCCGAATTGGCGGGAGAACTAGTTTGTGATCCGCGATCTGATACTGCGGTGATTCTTCGAAGCTCGTAGTCTCGGTGAGGATCCTTGGGGGGTTGTTGATGGGAAGGTGGGTGACCGAAAGATAGGGGTGGCCATCAAAGAAGTGGACAGAACAGCGCTTTCCGAGGAAGTGGCTGAGCAGTTGGGCTCTGCTATCTGAGAACTGAAAAGCTTTGCGGGACTTCTCGTACTGCTTAGGTTCTGGTGCTTTAGGATTCACTTCGCCTATCTTGGCATTAGTTTTCCTGCCCCATATCTTGCGCCTTCATCTCCTACCTTTAAAATCTTATCTAGGTTCTGGTGCTTTGGGATTCACTTTGCCCTTCTTGGCATTATTTTTCCTGTCCCACATCCTGCGCCCTTACCTCCTACCTTTAACATCTTACACATCTTATCTATCCACTGTGCTCCACACCACTTATAGTTTCAGCACCCTATTATTATAATCTGTCCATACAGAACTGTCACTTCGCAGCCTGCACTTCAGCTGATCTATCATTTGAATAAAGCTGGAATGACCTGTGGCCGAGCAGAATACTGTAATGCCAGGCATCTTTAATGTCCAACAAGAGTACACTATCGACAGCCATCTCTCTTACATAAAGGGAGAATTATTTTCATTATGTGCAACTTAATACAGAAAATACCATAAACACTGTCTACCCGCCACCCCATATTGACTATTGACATCTTGACCTATTTGCATCCTTTTTTTTAAGATTTATTTATTTATGCATACAGAACTGGGGTACAGGTCAGAGGTGCAGAGGCGCTGAAAGGATTCACCAGAGTGGGGAGCAGATCAGGCAGCTCAACAAAGTACACTGCTGAGGGGAGCAGTGGGCGGGTCTGGAGAGATCTGCTGAGCCATATGGGTCAGCTCCCTGGTCAGGGATAGAACTTGTGCTGAAATGGCTGTGGTCAGCTACATATAACTGCGCTCTAACCCGTTGCATCACCAGGGCGGCTCCTGCGTCCTTATTTTTAAAAAAGATGCAATAATATAGGTAAAAGTTGAACATATCTGTGTCTTCAACCCTCAGACCAATTACATTCTCATCCTCCCCAAAAGCAAGTTATCATAATTAGCTATATATTCCCCATAGCCCATTTTAAAAAGGTATTGCACAAGCAAAATGTAGTGTTATTTCATTTTGTCTTCTGTGTTCTTCAAGTAAACAAATAGTATTTTCTATGTATCATTCAAAAAGTTAATTTTTTACTGTCACTTCTGAGGCCTGTCCATGAATGGAGATGTGCTGGAAGTGTTTCTGAGAGAGCCCATGTACCCATACTATTGCCATTCCTTTATATTATAGACTTTTTTTTTTTAAAGATTTATTTATTTGTGCATACAGAAATGGGGTACAGGCCAGAGGCTCAGGGGTGGTGAGAGGCTTCACCAGAGACAGAGTGGGGAACAGAATAGGCAGATCACCGAAGTACACTGCTGAGGGGAGCAGCGGGTGGGTCAGGAGAGGTCTGCCACACCATTTGGTCACCTCCAGGGCAGGCGGGAATCGAACTCATGTGGAAGTGGCTTTAGATTCTCAGTGCTTGCTTTAACCTGCTGCGCCACCAGGGAGGGAGGGCTAATATATTATAGACTTTTAATGTTTTTTCTGGTCATAGAGGTAAGAGATGCTTGTAGTATTACCAGGGAGGTCAAGGATTTTTTTTTTTCAGGTTTTTAATCATTTAGAGCTCATCTTTTGTGAATTCTATGTTCATATCTTCTGATCTTTGTCCTTACTGATTTGTATTTTAAAATATGTGTTCTGAATACTGTCTAACTTTATAGATATTGCAAATATCTCTTTCAGTCATTTGTATTTTAACCATGTTTGTGTTGCCCTTAAAATATTGTTTTTCGGCCCTCCCTGGTGGCGCAGCGGGTTAAAGCACAGCAGTGAGAATCTAAAGCCGCTTCCTCATGAGTTCGAGTCCCGCCTGCCCCGGAGGTGACCACATGGCGTGGCAGACCTCTCCTGACGC